GACTGTATTATTCATTGTTCCTTGACAAATTTCTTAACTATGGTATTACATTACTTTCCACATGTATGCCACTTTTTCTAATGTATACTTTGTACATACAATCTTTCAACTTAGAAATATTTCAATATATATGGTAGCAGAATTATGTGCAATTTGTGCCCCAGTGGGTTAGGTTTTAGCTAAACAAGCCATTTCTCTTTTAAAAAGTCTTTTACATTCTTAATGAAGATATATTTTCATTACAGCTGTATTCTAAGGCTGCAATACTATACAAGCATAATTAGAAGTGAGTCCTACTGAATTCAATGGCCTTAACTTTTGCATAAAGTACTGCACTGTTCATGAGATGTCAATACAGATTAACACTACATTGGAGATTCATTTCCAAACAATGCCTACACTGAAAAATATCTGAGAACTGTTGCAATCATCACCGGAAATGTACATTTTTAAGGTTTACTGTGCTACAAAAATACAAAGACTTGGAAATCAACGCAACTCTATACTTGGCCATTATCAAGCTGACATACTTTTGACACTACCTTGCCATTCTGTCATTTCTTTTGCTACAACTTGATCATAGTTGCCACTACTTCAGCTGAGTGTCTGAATCTACACTATAAAAATATTGTTTATAGGTACTGCCAACAAACATGGAATTTCCATATAGTAATTTTGCCATGAAACAACTTACTGAAACATTCTTGAAAAAAAATAATATAGATAAAAATCTTAACTCCTGGAGACTACCTGGACACATCTGGATTGTCTGCTTGGCAACAATTTGGAAATAGTTTGCTATTCACTTCTGTTTTTGTTTACTTTTTAACTCCCAGTTAAGCTTATTTTCTGGTGGTTTCCTCATTAAAGTACTAATCAGGTTTGATTCTGCATAGGTTTTGAGATCAGTCAAGGTTGGATAGGTCCCTATAAGACCTTAATTATCTAAGATGAAAATATAATGATACATAACACTGCCTCTGAAAGTAATTTATATTTCGCTTTACTTAACCAGTAGAGGTCGCTCTTGAAAGACAAGAATCATTCTCTTCATAAACTCGGAATGCTGTGTTTGAAGTATACATGAAATTAATAAGGGCCTTATGTTACCAAACAATATAACCTTAAAATTATTTTTTTCTTATTATGGAGGCTAGATATAAAAAGAAGATAGCCTTATCCTAAGGCGTTAGGATTCAGGGTCAAAGTTTGTAATGTATTGTGTTGTGTTGTGTTAACCATGTAATATCCAGCTAATCTTCATAGTTATTCTCCTGTTTCCCCACTTGTTTCATTTCAGGATCCAACTGGAATTTTTTTTTAACAAAAAGACCTCCACTGACCCCAGTGGAGGTTGTTTTTCTTTTTAAAATGAACATGGGGAAAGGGAATAGTGACAGCTGAAGAGTTAGGGAGGTGTTAAACCCTCAAATGCGTGCATGACACTTCCTCTAGTAAAAATAAAATTAGCAAGATCAGTTTCATGTTATACACATAGTGCAATATACGCTGTGACCGTCAAACATGCAGTCCCTATATTCAACACAACACCATTGAATGATCTGAGTAAACATTCATACAACTGAACTGTAAAAAATAAAGTGCTGTGTAACTGCATCGATAAAATACAAAAGTTTCTACTCAAAATTTAGCTTATGTTGTTGTTACTCAGTTGCTTCCAATTCTTTGGAACCCAATGAACAACCTGTATTAAAACTGTGTCTCTGAGTTTTTAAAAATTCACACTTATGTCACCACTGATTGTATCTTGTCCTCTTCTCTTCTCTCAATCTTTTTCTATAGCCTTCAATTTTTTCAAGCATCATGGTCTTCTCCAATGTCTCCTGCTTTCACATTATGAGTTCCAAATATTTAAGCTTTATTGTGAATACTTCCAGTAAGCAGTCTAGTTTACTTCATCTGCTTAATAATTTGTTATTCTCAGCAATTTCTCCAGCACCACAATTCAAGTATTTTTTTCTTCAGCATTTCTGATGAACCAGCTTTCAATCATATATTACAACTGGGAAAACTGGCCTTGATAATACTTACCTTTGTTGCCAATGTGATATTTCTAGACTTCAATATTTTGTCTAGATATGTTGTTCTTTCTTTCAAGTAGCAGAGGTCTCTTTCTGTCATGACTACAATCACCATGCCTGTGAATTTTTGAGCCTAGTAGGAAGATAATCTGTTACTACCTTCAACTTCTTTTCTATCTATTTGCATTGGGCTGACACTGTGTACTGACATAATCTTAGGGTTTTTTGTAATATTGAACAGCAGGTAGGTCTTTATTTCTCCTTCTTTCATCTTCAGCAACAAATTCCCTAAGTGTTCCTTGCTTCCAGCCATCAAAATGATGTCAGTAAATTACTGAGGTTCTTGATTTTAATTTCAATTTTCTCTAGTCCAACATTTCTTATGACATTTTCTGCATGTAAGTTAAATAAGAAAGGTGACAGGATACAACATTTTCACACTCTTTTCCCAATTTTGAGCAATTTAGTTGCTCCATATTCTGTTCCAACTGCTGCTTCCTGATCTTTACACAATTTCTCCAATAGGCAGAAAAGCCAGGTACATCCATGTTTTCAAGAGTTCTTCATATATAAAATTAAATAGTGTTGGGAAGATGATTACCACCCTTCTGACTAACTTGGTTAGAAAACAGTTGCTCATTCTCTTAGCTAATGTTTTTCTTAACTCATAGCTGGATTGGAAACCTCTCACTGTCCAGTTATTGCTAGGCTAAAACTCCCCTCAGCCATGACTAATAAGGGTAATAATTAAGAATGACAGGCACATTACTTTCCACCTCTGAAGTAAAATATAAAATAAGGCTGTCAAATACTTAAATATGTTGTATATACAGAATGCCATTTTCTTTTAACAGTTGAAACACTGGGGTTTTTTGAATATTTGAATGCACATTTGAATGTTATTTTTTAAAAATTCAAACTTTGTTTAAATGAAGACAAACCAATTAAAAGATGGAAAATTAGAAAGGGCAGAAAATTGGTAAGTATATTCCTAAAGCAAAACATGAACAATAATTATCAATGGACAAAAGGTTCAACTCACTGGGTTGATACTTTCTCCAATTTGTATAGATCTCAAGATGATGTTTTCCGTCTTCAGTGAGCCAAGTGTATTCCCCTGTATTGTTTAGATCTTGAAGTGCTATCCAAAAATAAGGACTATCAGTTTTCCTTTGGTTGTGAATCATACTGTTCAGGAAACCTTGTTCAAACCTTAAAGGATTCAATAATATTAAAAGTTATTAAATTCCCTATGTCATAATTTAAGAAGTAGCTCTTGTTCATCTTTTTCAGCAATAGAAAAGAACAGCACTTGTGGAACAACTTTCCTAACAGCAGTCTACAGAAAGCGACTGAATTCTATAGGCACAAGACATTTGGCATGCAAAAGTATGACCTTAAATGGCATTAAATACTCAATGGGCTATGCTGCTAAAATAAAACATGTTTCTAGTCACTCCAACCAAGGCTACTAGATAGGAAAAGACCTATCCAGTCTGCTGCTGCAAGGAAAGTCAGTTACCACATGGTACAGGCTTTTAAATATATTTTGGAATATAACTTCAAATGGCAACTAGCCTATTATGGCTTCTCTTGCTTATTCTAAGTGATGCTATGTAATACGATGCTTTGAGTCATAAAGCTCTAAATGACTTACTTATTACTTACTAAGAGACTATTTATTTCTATATATCCAGTAATAATCTCTGAAATCTCTAAACAACATGATTAGAATAAATTTTATTCTTTCACTTTAAAATGCACAGTTCCACTCTACATAAATGCAAAGGGCCTGATTGGAATGTAGCTTTGGGGGCACTGGAGTGTACAATAGCAGCTTTAACACTTTGTCCAGGCCTACAATTCTGATTCAGATTGAGCCTCTTATGCCTGCCACTCAAAATAGCAAAAATTGAATGACTAAATTCACAGAAAGATGACTGATCCTAAAGGTTCCACTTAAATAATATATACAGATAAACATGCTATCCATAACATTGTGTAATCCCAAAATTGATAAAGGCAAGCAACTCAATTTTCAATAGAATACAAAATTAATTCAGTCAGAAGACCCCTTTTTAGTTCAGATGTTTAACTGATCAAATAGATTCCTTCCTGGATAAATAAGTGAATAAATTATTTTGTTCCCCCCACCCCTAGAGAAGTCTAGGGGTGGGGGGATATAACTGCATCCCTCCACCCCATATCTGAATTTCATCTACAGTAAGAGATTTTCTCCTGTTAAACACATTAAAACAAAGATGAATATATATTCTTTCTTACTACTTGAAACTAGTTGCTAATGCAAAATTTAACAATATTAACAACTTGCATGAAATAGCTGCAACTGGAGAGAATAAGGATATATTTGTCAGGATGGTTAGCAAACACTGAGCTATTTCATGTAATGAAGATTTTGAAAATCAGCACTAAGAAGTAAAATGTCAACATTCTTTCATGGATGAATAACTGCTGAACATTTATTCAACAACAATGAACGTTCCAATCCAGGTGGTAGGTGACTTGAGAATTCTATCCAATTTTAGCCAATTCCATCTTGATTCAGATAACAGCAAACTGAATATTTGTCTTCAGTTACACCTAGCCTGTAAGATAAGTAATTATTTCACCTCTGTTTCAATGCCACAGGAGAGTTAAAATAGCTTTCTATTGTCGAGTAGATTTAGCTACCTGCTCATTACTGTTGCAAGTGAAGGACAATAATAGCCACCAGATGCATGTCCAAAGCTTCGAGGGATTTTATCAATTTTGTAGCAATATCCACCATGTCTTTCCCATCCCTTCAAAAATAACACAAATTACTGTAATGTATAGGGTATTATTTCTCTATTTCTCTTTCTGTAAATAATACTTTGATGTCATGCAGAGATTAAATCAGGAAGCTTTTCCAAGAGAGAATGTTAAAGGAAGGAACACAGCTCAGTTCTAGTGTCTATGCTCAGTGTGCAGCAGGTCCCTAGTTGTCAGCCCTTTGAGGTAGGCCTGGTCAGGAAACAGACACCATTAAGAAATACTAGAACTATACTTCATTGATACAGGCCATAGTAACAGAATCTTGAAAGCCTGACACTGTTTCCCATTCCCTCCTCGTATACTAAAGAGACTCAAGGTAGGCGATGTTAAGCTTATTTCTCACACTTTGTTTTCCTGGCCTGAGCTCATATTTTGCTAATGGTCACTGCATGTTCTCTCCAAGGCCATCTCTATATCAGTTCAGTCACTTTTGTTTACATTCTGCACATCCATATAATCACTGGTCGCAACTGTAATTCATATATCCAAAGGGAACATGTGCACACATTTACAATAACTGTAATGTATTCTCTCTGGATAAATGAATTATAGTTGCATGACCATGTTTACCTTGCAAAAATTTCAAAATGAGAACAGTACAACCAACAGTGCAACAGAGTACACTGGAGAGAACAACTTCTGATGAGTTGGCAGGCACAACTCAACCTCCTGATTGTCTGAAGAACCACAGCAGGCCATCTAGTGATTCAGTGACATCAGTGGAAGAGAGAGAGCCAAAAGGTTTTAGCCTGTTTTATGGAGAGCTTAGTGGGTAGAAATGGGAGGACTTTATAATTCCTACCCTTAAACTCCCCCCAAATCTGAAAACAGTCTATGTTCAGCTTGTTTTTGGTATCTGGGGAAGATATCATTGTCAAACCTAATCCCCACAATCCAAAAACTAGCTCCAAATTGGGCTACCAGTATTTGGCCATTTTACTCTTGAATTACAATGGTACACTGTCAGGCTCCACATTGCCATACGTACTATAAATGTTCACTCAGAAGTAAGATTAGGCAGTTTTAAAGAGATGGCTTCTATGCACTTTCACCAGTGAGGCCTGTTTTGGATGCTCTACTCAGTCCTAGAAAATAATAAATCAATACATATGATCAGAGTGTTCAGAACTACTGAACTGTGCATATTTTATTCTACTATCTGACTGATTTAATTTATATGCTGCCAAATCGTTTCAGAAAATCCATACAATGAAAAAATTAAATCATCCATGATAAATTATAATTCCAAAAGAAAACAATCATCCCCAAATAAAATAATGCAGAAGTAATTATTATTAATAATAATAATAAAAAATAAAAATTGATTAATGCAAATAGCATAAATATAGAAGTAGCTGATCTGATCAAGGTTGGAGGATCATGTAAAAAAGAAAATTCATGACAATTCATTAACCGTGAAAATTTGGCCTCTTTTTATTTTATGCTTTGGTAATTAGTAAAGTATGGTTTCTTTCTCAACTCAGTTATTTTTTCTCAATAAAGCTTATTTATTGAATATCCAAGGAAATGTTTGAATGAATCTAAAATTTAATTTTTAAATTTTCTGAATCAACCCACCACAATCATGGTTTTTAAATTTGCTTTAATTAAATATGGAGATATGGTAGTTTAACACTCTGGGAAGTATATCAATTTTTACATACGTCAGTCAAAATACTGTTATATAGCATAAATTAATAACAAATAGGTCACTAAAAAGCAATTATAACCATGTTGATCTAGGAAAAAAAAACAATACTCACATAATATTTGGGCCTAACAAAGGAGTATGAAAATTTTTAAGGTCTCCAGAATTCATCAGGCAATATTTAATTAGTACCCATGGGTCTTATATTTTCAACAGAGTATTTGGACAAGAAAAATTAAACATTTATTATTGTTATATTAAAGTTATAACATCTGGATATTGTAAAGCAGGCAGTATCGACCTGCTTCTGAAGTAAATCCAATTCTCTTCCTACCCCCACACTGGTAGATTGATGCTTTGACCTCTCTGATATTTCAAATTCTTTCAGCATCTTTAATGCCATATACACTATAGGCATAAGAGTTTCTAGGTATCTGGAGAATGAGAACTGGGTACACTTACTTATAGTTTGAGACTATAAATGGAAAGGTAGCTCCATAAAAATATTTACTTAAAAGTTTTAGTTTTGTTTTTAAAATTACACATGGTTGCTAATTAATAGGATTACTACTAATTTGGTCGGTAGGCCAAAAAAAAAAGCAGCAGCAGCAGCAGCAGCAGCAGCAGCTGCTCATTCCTTTCTCTGGAAGTTGAATACGGTTTTCTATTACCCTACTAGTATCTACGGTATTATCCAAACCTGAATTTGATATTGCATCCAATATCCCATCAGAAGGCTGGATTTTTATATTGTTTAGGAACCGAAGGGTTTTTTAATGTTATATTTAACTGCAGAAGAAAAAGCCAAATAATTTTATGCTTGTAATATTGACATCCTAAATTGTAATTAATATTGATAGAATTTTTCTTTCATTTCTCTATTTTCAATACTTTAAGATATCTAAATAATAGGATGTTATCTCTAATTATACCATATAAACATCACTGTACTGAAACAATACAACATATATAATAATAACAATACAACATAATAAAAAGGAAAATAAAATTTAAAACAAGGAATAGAAGGATTTTTTGTTCTGTAGCTTTGAGGCTACAGTGTTTCTAGGTTACACTCTACCAGAATCCGCAATGTTGTTTTTGTGTATCCACATGTATTGGCTTTTCTATGTTTTAAGTGCTGTTTTTGTTAGGCTATTTCTATGCACCAACTAACCAATTTTTGATACTGTTGCCCAAAAAATCAGCCCAGAGACAGTCAGCAAAAGAAAAGCTATAGTGGAGACATAAAGACAGTATCGATAAATAACAGAAAGAAGACACTAAGACGGGGGGCATGTACTTGACTAACAAAGTTTAAATGAACATTTAACTTCTGATAAAACAGTTATGTCACTTTAGGGATCAGCAACACATTAAAATAAGAAGATCTGGCATGATTTAAATGGAACATGCCATATTGAAGGATGATTTTTAGAGAGTTTGAGCATATATCTTTCCTAACAGATACAATGTCCATAGCAGACCTCCAAGTGGCTGTTTTACAAAAGGCAGCCTTTTTTTAAGCCTCACATACTTTTTTTAAGCCTCACATACTTCAAAAGGTTTCAGGCAATCTCAGAAAGTCTCAACAAACACAATGGGTGTATAATACACTAGAATTGTTGATTGATAAAGTACTTGTAACCTGTTTCATATATAACCTACATCTGCATAACCATCCCGCTTTCCCTTCCCTCCCTGCCACGCAAGCACCTGGTACCAGATTCCTGATTTTTGCCACCATAGAGAACACAGCTCTCTTCCGATGATATCCAATTCAGGTGATGGATGACTAGCCAGCTTTACACAGAATTAAGATAATCTTGAGATGATCTTTGGTATACTGATAGCCACTGGCCACATCCAAAGATTGAACGTTTGTATATAGGATGTCTCACTTACCCAAAATTGACTTTCTGTTTTCTCTTTTTTCTGCTTTCGTCCATTCTTTCAGCTTGCCCCACCAGACCCAGCAGAGAGGGCATGCTCCTGGTCCCATCTATTAAACAATGTCATCTTGTTGGACCCAGGAGTCATACCTTCTCTGTGACTGCAGGAACAGCATCCTCCCAGAGACCCAGATGGCCCCAACTCCGTTAGCCTTTGTAAGGCTCTAAAGACCTGGCTGATTCCCCAGGTGTTCAGGCCAGGAGATTAGGCAAGCTCTGTTGTTGATGTGATTTTATGCTTGGAATGTATTATTTACTTCAGGTATCAAGAGCTACTGTTTGTAACTGCTGGGTTTTTAATCTTTGTATATCACCCAGAGTCATTGCTATAATATAGGTGGCCATAAACATACATACATACATACATACATACAAATGCATGTCAGACTTGAACCATCATTAACATTTAAGAACAAATTGTAACTTTTAAAGTCAGATGTCAATTCTCAATCAGGCTTCTGAGCTTACACTGAGACATTAGTTTGTGGAGATAAAAGCTAGATCTCTTTTGTGAGACAGTAAGTCCTTTTGAGAATATGGTATGAATGAGAGATGGAAAGGCGAGAATAGGCATTAAACGCTACAATTCCATTTAATATAACAGTAAATGAGGAAAAATAACCATCAAAAATTAATATAAATATTTCCTCATTGTTATAGATATAATCTACCATGTGGCCATAATGCTTGTTTAGAGACTTTTCTTTCAGTTTAAGATTATTTATATTTCAGATTACAGAGCAGCAACATGTATATCCTTCAAAACAACAAACCGTGTAAATCATAACTAAGCTATTTCATTATTAGTTCAGTTTAATTAACTAAGTTCTTTGGATGTTGGTGGACTTAGCTGCCTAGAGGCTGCGCTACTTGCATGAAATACTAGCATTTCAAATGATGCTATATAAATACTGTAACCCTCCATTTAACCCAATTTTATTGGCTTTGTAAGCAACATTTCTTCCTTTCTTCTCTGTCAGACAAATGACAGCTTCATGATATAATTCCAAAATAAGGCTTGAGGAAATGGGTTGATCATCACTGCTGTAGTGTTTAGACAGCTAGCTTAAGGAATTTGACCTCAGTAACAAAACATTTGCTCTCTGTTAGCAGTTTATAGATTAGAAGGACCAAAAAAAAAAGGAGTTGTTGAATTAGTAATAACATCACATGGCATATGGCCAGCTGAGCAATGAGCACTTTGCTGCAATATCTAAGAAAGATATGGGATCATCAATTCATCAGAAGTGTTGTAAAGACAAATAAAGCAGGACAATTCTCTAAAGGCAAGAGCAAATGAAAACAACAACATATTACGAAGGAGGGATTGACCTCTCATCATCAGCAATTAATGTAAGGAGTTATCTCAATCTGATGGTTAGTGTTTGAAATCAAAATTAAACTAATTTTCAGCCAGTTGTTTGTTGACATTAAGGTAGAAGGAACCCTTGCAATTTGGTACAGGAATATCCATCTCATTTTATGAACTAGAAATGACATAGCCCAGAGACTCCTTGAGAAGGCCATCCTGCCTCTTTTATAATACAACCTTGGTAGAAATGCATTTCACCCTTTCTGCTCAATCCAGACCTATCCCAAAATGACCCTGAGGAAAAGCTAAAAAGAATGAGGACTAGTTGGTTTGAGAAGAATCCTCCATACATGGATGTCAGTTCGAAACACATGGTTGTATCATAAAACAACACAAAATTAGCATATTTTGGAACAGGGAATATAATAGAGTTGGTTTTGGAGTGTTCAGCACGGCCCACTCTTGTATGTTGGTTACAGATTTTTCCATGGTAGAGCACAACATTTAATAAGGGTTTTGAGCTAATAAGGCAATCTCAGTCAGGTTATATTGACTGAAAATATGGTGAAAAATATCTGTGGTGATATAATTATTGTCAATTGTCATAGGTATTATTCATTCTACAGTGGCTGCTTGGGCTGTTAGGTATTGTACCAGGCACTCTGAAGGATATTAATGCTCATGGTTTTAGCAGAACATGCATTACTAAAGCCTTAATATGTCAGGCTCAGAGTCTTAGATAACAGCTATCATATATTTTTCTTTCAAACAGAGAAAAATCAACAGCATCCTCATTCATGAATAGAATGTTAATGCAACAGTGAAAAAAAGTTAATTCACCATGTCAGAGAAACAAATGCTTTGAATATTGACATTCTCTAGAACTAAAAAACTATGAAACATTATCCAAAAGTTATTATTTGTGCAGATGGTCTGTGGAAGCGCTCCTTCTTTTGATGCATAAAGATATGGCAACTTCAGTCACAACTGCTGACAAAGCAAGTGACCCACAAAATGAGTTCTAGGAAAAAACTTTATGACCTCAATTCATAGCTTCTTAAATGATTCAATATGTGCAGCACTTCCAAATAAAGGGCTTTACTTGTCACTTCAATAGAGATAAAGAATTGTCTTTTCCCTTAAAGCAAATGGGCATTTCTGAATATGTAGGAATTCATGTGCATGCTGAGTGTCCTTGTAGTTCAACAAATCCCTGGACTGGAATGTTATTAATGGAACACACACTTGTTTTGGAGTGTGGATACATAATATACTAAGGAGCTTACTTAAAAATTAGAATTGTAACATATTAAAGTGGCAATCTTGTGCACATTTAAATTCCTTTTTCCACTGTGGGATAAAATAGAGGTATCCCTCAGCAAATTTTCAGTGATTCTGCCTTCACTTTATTAGAGGTGATCTGCCTCCATCTGATTAGAGGACATAGGAAGATGTAGGGGAAGGTATGAGCCTGCAAAAAAGAAAATTCCTTGATGGAATCCACTGTGAAATCAAAGAGCATTCTGTCAATGAATCACTGTCCATGACCAGAAAAATAAAAGTAACCAATAAATAATTGCATAAACTGGAAATATTTGTATAATTTGTATGATCTTATGATAACAATGAACAACTCTTGCGGGTAAGTTGCAGAATAAAATAAAATAGTTGCCAGTTTCATCATTTGTTTTCATCATTGTTTAGAAAAAGTTCTAAAGCAGAATTTCTCAGTTATAAAAGGAACATCATTGTTAAAACTAGTGAGAATTGAGATATAAAATATACTTAATGTACAAGGGAACATACTTAGAATCAGGGCTATATAAAGGTGGCAAATATCATTATAAAATTGACAGTATAACTAGATATGATGCCCAGTTTCAATTGCTCCCAAATGACAAGGGCAAAACCTTTCCTCAAAGGGAATTTGTCAGTATCTTCTTTCCAATGAGGCTAAAGATAGAGCATTGAAATGAGCTAACGTGAAAGCCCTAAAGAGAGATATTTCCCTTGGATAAAAGCTTTGGTTAGATTTTCTTTTTCAAAGCAAAGGGAGGTTTAATGTTGTCTGCCTGTACATCAATAACCACCATTTGCTGTCTTATGACCTCTTTATTTTGGGGGAAATCCAAGGATTGCAAGACTAAGGCAGACAGACTACTGCTGTGTAGTTTTGTCTTCGAAGTCTTTTTCCAACTTGGGTAAAAGTTATTCAGTAGAATCAAGGAGGCCAAGCCCTCAGGGCAGACATTTTAAGCCAGCAACTGATTTTGCTGATCCAAAGGTGTGCTTCTATTGCAACAGATCCTGCCTCCAAATGTCAGACACCGTTGGGTACACAATAAGGGACCACAAAGATAGTTCTGCTTCCAGGATGGAGAAATCCTTGTACACGCAAGGATTGCCCTGGGAGACTCAAACTGTAGAGGTAATATGTAAATCCTCATCTGAGAAAAAAACACCTGGAAATCCTGTTGCTCTTGAGGAAGTGGACAGGATCCTAGGGAGTGTGAGTGCAACCACCTCTGTTTTAGACCCGTGTCCCTCCTGGCTGGTGAAATACTCCTGGGAGGTGACATGTGGGTGGGTTCTGGCAGTTACTAATGCTTCTCTGGGGGAGGGGGTGGTGCCCCAACCTTTTAAGGAGGCTGCCAGTCTGCTCTCTTCTTAAGAGGCCATCGCTAGATTCCACCCTGTTAGGTAATGTTTGTCCTGTTTCCAATCTTTCCTTTTTGGGTAAGGTTGTTGAGAAGGTGGTTGCACTGCAGCTCCAGAGGTTCTTGGATCAAATCAATTATCTGGACCCTTTTCAGTCAGGGTCCAGGCCTGGATATGGGATGGAAACAGCTTTTTGATGATCTCTGGTGGGAGCGAGATGGGGGTAGCGTGTCCATCCTCACCCTACTTGACCTCTTGGCAGCCTTCAATACCATTGACCATGGTATCCTTCTGGAGCGGCTTCAGGGGTTGGGAGTGGGGGACACTGTGTTGTCATGGTTCACTTCACAGAGGAAGGCCTCTATGGCCATTCGCAGTCAGTGTTGATAGGAAGCGAGAGGTCTGGGCCTTGGCCCCTGCTTTGCAGGGTTCCGCAGGGTTTGGTACTTTCTCCACTTCTGTTTAACATCCTCATGAAGGTTGAAACTGAACCCTGGCAAGACAGAATGGCTCTCGGTTTGGGGTTCTTTGGTCCATGGACAATTGCCATCTTTGGTCTTGGATAGGGTTGCACTGCCTCAGATGGACCCAGTGCATAATCTGGGGGTTCTCCTGGACTCACGACTCCTGCTTGAGGAGTAGGTGGCAGTTATGGCCAGGAGGGCCTTTGCGCAACTGTCGGTTGTGCGCCAGTTACGCCCTTTCCTGGACCAACAAGCCTAGCTCAGAGTCACCCACACCTCAGTCACCTCCTGTCTTGATTACTGTAATGCGCTCTACATGGGGCTGCCCTTGAAAAGTATCCAGAAGCTTCAGTTGGTTCAGAATGTGGCAGCCCACGTGGTTTTGTGCAAGTCTAGATCTGCACGTGTCACCTCTCTTGTGGGAGCTGCATTTGCTGCCAATTTGCTTCTGGGTCCAATTCAAGATGCTGGTTATTACCTTTAAAACCCTACATGGCTTGGAGCCAGGTTATTTAAAGAACCACCTTTTCCCAATTTCATCTACTCAACTCACCAGATCAGGAAGGCAGGGTATGTTATGGGTCCCCCCCATTAAGGAGGTCCATCTAGTGGGACCAAGAAGGGCCTTCTCTGTGGTGGCTCCCTCTCTGTGGAACATCATTCCCACAGAAATAAGACTGGCCCCCACCTTGATACTCTTCTGCAAGGCCCTGAAGACACAGTTTTGCCAGCAGGCCTGGGGAATCCCAGGTTGATACTGAGTCCATCAAATGGCTAGTGTAAATGTGTTGTTGTCACCAAGGGGGTGTAGTGGGTTTTGTATTTGGGGTTTTTATTTCTTAGGCCACCCGGAGTCACCGTGAGTGAGTTGGGCGGCCATATAAATTGCTTAAATAAAATAAACAAATAAAATTGCAGCCACACATCTCTGAGCAGTCTCTCTAATATATGCAATCAGGGCTAAAGTCCTGGAAAACAATACCAACACAGCTGTACATTTAACTTGCACTGTCATATCTATCAATCTGCCACCTATGTTTTGTTAAGGATGTAGAGAAAACCATGACTTTTGATCTTAGAATAATTTATGGTAAGTTTTTCTTCAAAGTAGTAAGAGGCAAAGGCCTGAAGGACTCTTCTCAGATCTATAGCTTTACAGTAAATGAATGTATAGACCCACCATCAACATATAACAAAGAGGTAACCTTTCTATAGCCCCAATTGGAGGATAGAAACTCGGGTCAGAGACTGCTTCAATCAACAAATTAATACAGAAATTAAAGAGAAGGAGACTTAATATGCAGCCATGCTTCACCCTTGTTTTGGAAAAAATTATGCATTTAGGATGGCCCTGGGGGTACAGTGATCCCTCATATGGTTATTTTCATATAGATTCAGAATGAGCACAAGAAGCCAGCAATCTATTGTGAAAGTTTCAAGCTTCCTCCATAATATATTCCTTGGAATTGAGTCGAAGACTAATATAAAATCAATTAATCCACTTCTCAGGGGATGTTGTGACATTAGACACTGGTTAACCATAGATCAGCCCACTCTAAAAGCCAGGCTGCACTTCCACTAAGATGCTTTCGTTCTACAGCTAAGCCCACAACTTCCAATAAAGATGCCTTGCACAAAGATTGCTGATTATATTAAGCAGGCTGATTAACGTCAATGAAGAGACATCTTCAGTCGGGTACAATTTTTACCCAACTAGGAATACATCCTATTGATCCCAGCACATTTTCCTTCTGTATGTAATATGTGTGCATACATTATAAATGCAATGAAAATGTGACATTTTCAAAAAGTGCTATAACTCTTATCAAACTATAGCTGAACACTTCCCATATTTAAATGTTACCTCTGGACAGCCAGATTCCACTTCAAAAATGGGATTTCCCACATTTCCTCTTCTTTTACAAATATAAAAATATCTGCTTTTGCAATTTTTAACTTTCCAGCGTCCTTCCTGGTTAAAAACAGTAACAGAATAGAATTACAATAGAAAAACAATTGAAGGTAGTTCAAGTATCTCATTTTTTTCAGAGAAAGGCCTACTTATTTAGGCGGCCAATATACTTAAATAAATAAATAAATAAATTTCAGGTACTTTACTCATATGCATTAGACTACTGAGGGTACAACTAATATTTTTAGATCTTCTGCAGTCTCATATTATTTAGGGCATGAGTAAGCCCTGTTTCACAGCTAGATAGGCCTTTTAGACATATTTTAAATGTATTAAAATAAAAGTTTGCATAATAAAAACCCTAAATACTAAAATATAAATGTATCATCCTTCTACATTTTATCTAATATTGCTGATTGCGCTGTTCTTCTGCTTTGGAACTACCTCAATAATTCAAAGAGCTATTGTGTGATATCATAGAATATTTATCAACATTTCTTCCAGGTCAGGAAAAAAGAAAAAAATCTACATTTTTTGCAAACTACTGTGTGAGCAAATGAAACAAACTTCCCTGAAATAAAAAGTCTGAAAAAGGACAGATAAGCGAAACATGCAAAGGCCTCAGATGATATAGTATGGAGTAAGCAGAGAAATGAGAAATGGATGGCACTGCATGAAAAAAAAAATGACTATACTAATAGTTATGGATCAGATAGGCAAGATATCTGTGCAGGGGTATTGTTCTGTTATTAACTGCTGTATGCCCAACTTTATATTGAATAGCATCGAATATGGAAGGCTCACAATATTCTGTAGTATTCATAGCATGTAAGCATGTAAATGTGATACATAAAAAACAAACAAATATCCGAGATGCTAGTTGTAATAATATGTAAACTAAAAATAAATGTAACATATAGATACATAACATTTAAACTCATTCACCTACTTAATTATTTTAAAAAGGAAAAAAATCATACATGTTGCTGAGCTGAAACACAAATGTGTCCTTCCTGCTGAAGAATATTTGGTTCTTGTTTATTCCAGTAGGTGAAGATTACGGCAGATCCGTCAGACCATTCAAACTCAATGGGGGTCTTATTATTGCTTAGTCCAATCCATGTGTCTGTCACATTTTCTATAGAAGATAATGAAGTGCATCTTAAGGTGACTTGAAAAACTAGATAATGTTTGACTAATAGCACATTAAAAAAAAATGGTCTGCACTCTTTAATTAGCCTTGACCATTGCAGGCAATAGTACTTAGCTGACCTTGGCTGATCCTGAAAAAACTAAGACCGTAGAAAGAGAATTTGAGAGTGACTCATTTGCCCAAAGGAATCATTTGATTCCTCTTGTCCTATACATCCACAATATTGCACTATTCCTTTTCTTGGCTGCTCAGCATAACACGAACTCTCCTGTGTCTTATCAAAGGCCTATCTAATATAGTATTCTGTCGGTCAAAGTGGTCAAAAAGATGCCCCAAAAGCCCACTGCAAGACATGTACTTCATAGCATATTCTCACTTGTTTTCTAGTAACCTATTCAAAGAAAGAAATGTTCTGAATAGCATAAAGGCACCTTGGCTTGTAATTATTTTATAAAATACTGTGAATGTCATGCTTTTGAGTCTATCAAGACTGTTGAGACATTAAACTCACCAGAGGTAAATTCAGTCAAATTATTTTCTCTTACTCTTGACATGCTTCAAAAGATGACTGTGCAATAAAACTCAGGGCTGGAGAAACTGTGATCCACCACATGTTGATCTACAGCTCCCAGTATCCCTCATCATTGGTCATGTCAGCTGGTCCTTATGAAAGCTGTGATTCTGCAACATCTGGAGGGCCACAGTCTTCTCACCCATGGAAGTGATTCAAATGTAAAAGTGATACATAAAAAGCAAACAAATATCCCAGATGCTGGTTGTAATAATATGTAAACTAAAAATAAATGAAGTGCTAAAAAAAATTGCGCATCAGTTGACCTGGGGCTTTTCAATGACAGCTCTATTTTTTGGTACAAATATTATATTGGGTAAGACTTTACACAACCCTGTTACTTCAAGTTTAAAAGATCTAGCATCATGTTCTCTAGTGGGTATCGTCCCCAATTTCAGCCTTCTTCCTCAACATCAAACCTTTTCCTACTGCTACTTCTGAGAGTCGGAGAGCCGGTGATGGTGCAGAGCAGTTGGGAATTTCCCAGTGTGACTCTATCAATTTACACAACTGCTGTTCCTGAACTTTATAAAGCTGTCTAATAATACTAACGTTTGAGCCTTGAGGAAAGGTTCCAAAAGAACTTGAGCAAGATTCTAGTACTGTACTTCAAGTAAAAAAAAAAAAAAACCTTAATAGCTGCTTTAAAAATGCAAACTGCTTATATCTTAAGACAATGTTCAATATCAACTAATGATAAAAATTTACCGTATTCAAGGAGGTTAATAAGCATCTCTGTATCAGCCAAAGAGGTTATGCTAATGAGTGTGCTATTATCATCCCGGCAGGAGAAAAATGCTTCATTCCAGGTCTTTTCTTCTTTACGAAGTTTATAGCAGTAATTATTATATGGATACCAATTACTGTCACAGTCAGTAGGATAAAATTTCCATGAATCTTTTAATTAAAATATATAATAAATAGTTATATTAACAAATTGAATAATCTCCTACTTTCATATAGTTATATTCCACATGTAGTGTGTGAGAACATTAGCTTTTTCACATTACTTTCTATTTTTTTACAAAAATAAAAAATGCATTAATCTATAAAAATACAAGTGCAAATGTTATAAAAACAGATTAACAATGTACAATTACAAATAAAAACTGTTTAGTGATACTTCGGCAATTTGATCTTTATGAAGTTTCGTCAAACTGACTTGATCCATTACTTGATCTATAATGAACAGATTGAAACTTGGTTATCAACTGACTTTCAGACCTTCCACATCTTATAGTGTAGTTCTCAATCACAGATATGTTTAAAAACATATTTTTAGTGAAAAATTGTTTAGATATGCGCGTTATGAGAGCCATTGAAAAAACACACACATTTAAATGCAAATTAAAAGCCAAAACAAGCAACAGTCTTGTGACATCTGAAGAATAATTTATCATGGCATTAGCCTGCCTGATAATATGTAGTTTGCAAAGGTTTACACCACAGTAAATCTGTCTAGCCTTTAAGATGTTTTTGCTGAGAGAGATATAGTTAAGCCTATGGGTTTGGTTTTTTTTAAAGAATAAGTCATATTGTGATCTGTGACTGGAAAAATAAGTCCAAACCCCATGTTTGGTCAATATTTTTGTTAGAGTTATTTTAATAATCGTATATTTAAATGGACATTTTTATTTCACTTCATATGAAACCAGGATGGATTGTGAGTAAATATACAGTATACCAAAAAGACAGAAACAAATATAGCTTTAAATTTATTTTAGAGCAGTTATCTATATATCTTTTTATATATTAAAAAAACCAGTTTCCAGGACTCTCACTGAGAAAATAGAAGAAAATCTTGTATGATCAGGAAGGGATGATGATATTTCTTGGTTTAAATCTTATTTTTGGAATGGTTGCCATTAACTTCTATAGATCCAGGGAATACAGACTTGAGGGGTCTACTTTAAAAACCAAAAAACTAATGTCTGCCAAATAGAGCCTAATGTGAAACAATGGTTTAAGGATAGAATTGTATAATCTGCACACAACAAACAAAAATGTACATCAGAACTACTACAGACTAGCCATTCAAGCAGTTTTTTTTAGAGGTAAACAACAGCAACAAAAACCACAACAGTGAACCAAGATCATTTTTGCAGTGTTTGATGATACAATACCATTTAGCTCCCCCAAAATAAAATAATAAAATTGTTGAGATTAAACTTCACAAGATTTGACAGTCTTACATGAGATCTTATGAGAGTTTGGTGATCTTCTCTTGTAAGTCTTCAGCTTTTTTTTCCTGGATATTAGTTCATCACAAAAATTGTGCATTGGTACCCAAAATTAACAAAAAGTTGCCAAACCCAACATTATGGCCCATTTTGCCATCTAATATTAGGCAATAACTAAATTACAATCACATGATTAAAAATGAGGGCATTCATTTACATGGAAATGTAAATATATTTCCACTGAAGAGTATTATTTCATTTCTTAGGCATACATACATACATACACATATATATATATATATATATATATATA